ACTATTGCAAAACAGGAACGAGGAGTTGCAGCCTGTAGCCTACTTCTAGGCAAAGTTACAGCCACATCAGAGGGCTTATTCTACCATTGAAAAAGAAGCCCTCGCGCTGGTACTGGCTTTGGAGCATTTCGATGTTTATGTGGGCCAGACATCGCAGGTGGTCACCGTCTACAGTGATCACAATCCTCTAGCATATCTCCAAGCCATGAAGAACCACAACACGAGGCTCATGCGTTGGGCTTTATGACTGCAACCCTATTATATTAAAATTAAACATATTGCCGGAAAAGAAAATATGTTGGCAGACTCATTATCTAGAGTCTAACTATATTATTTAATTAGGTTAGGATGTTAGGTTACTTGTGGTAACCCCTTTCATGCTCTTTTTTTTATCCCCTGGTGTGGGTTTTTTTTTTTAGTGAGGGGATGCGGGCTACCGTCCGCCAGTATCTTGGACCTATGCTAGCCCGACTGACTGCTGTCTCACTCTGAGTTTAGGGTTTGGCTTTTTGTCACGAGAAAAACTGAGCCCTATCTAAGAGTTGGATGGTGGAGAGGAAAGGCGGTCCCATTATTTTGTGCCATGGCGACACGGTTACCACTGGGAGGTGGCAGCCTAATCCTGAGCCTTCTCGGGGTGGAGGTGTGGCATGCACACACCCTCATCTACAGGCTATCTCCCCCAACCAGCGAACCAGGTTACTGAGAGTTGATGATGGGGCCCCGTCGTTCAACTAGTAACCAGGTTCCAGCCAATAAGAAGATGGTTTTGGCAATCGCAGAGGTTATGTGGGTACCACTCTCCTGTCAGCCCTTGTCATTCCCATTCTAGAGCTGGTTGAAGCATGGTCTGCTCTCTTGTGGCTTCTATTCTGCCTTGCTTACTGTGGAGTGGACTAATACCTATCACTGTATATAGTGTACATATTGCTGTTCTAAATTGGTGAAGGATAATATACAGTGGACCCCCGCATAACGATTACCTCCGAATGCGACCAATTATGCAAGTGTATTTATGTAAGTGCGTTTGTACGTGTATGTTTGGGGGTCTGAAATGGACTAATCCACTTCACAATATTTCTTATGGGAACAAATTCGGTCAGTACTGGCACCTGAACATACTTCTAGAGTGAAAAAATATCGTTAACCGGGGGTCCACTGTATGTCAAAACTTTTCTGCTGTGTATATTTTGCTCCCTTTACACCCAGGATAACAGGCCATTTGGACTCCTGGGTTGTAATAGTGTGGCATTGTTTCTCAGCGAGTGAGCATCACCCTCCACGTTCATATGAAACATTTCGTAATAATCCACTGTTTTTTGTGCTTGCAATTGCTAAGCCACCATGGGCCCAAAGAAAGCTCCTAGTGCCACCCCTTAGGTAAAGGTTGTGGAATGTATTGTGGCATTGGGGAATTCCATGGGGTTGGATGTGAGTGGCCAGGATGTGGAAGAGTTGGTGGAGGACCATAGTGAAGATCTAACCACTGAAAAGCTGCAAGAGCTTAATCTGCAACAGCAACAGACCACAGCTGAGAAAACTACTTCAGAGGAGAAAGAAGATAGAGGGGAGAAGGTGTCTTCTTCAGTGATTAAGGATATTTGTGCAAAATGGAATGAGGTGCAAACTTTTGTGGAGGAACATCGCCCTAACAAAGCTGTTGTAGATTGTGTCTGTGACATGTTCAATGACAATGCCTTGTCCCATTTTAGGCAAATCTTAAAGAAACGCCAGAAACAAAGCTCTCTGGAAAAAATTTTTGAGTGACAGGGGTCCAGTGACTCTCAAGCTGGTCCTAGTGTCATTAAAAAACAAAGAAGGGAAGTAACCCTGGATAAAGACTCAGTACCTAAAGTCTTTATGGAAGGGAATTCCCCTTCCAAACAATAGTAACTTCTCCCTCCCCTCCTCCCATCTTTCATACACCAACAAGTCCTCAATAAAGGTGTGATATTATTGCTTTATATTGATTTGTCATTCCTTTCTGTAAGTAACTATATATTTAATCTCTAAAAAAATTATTTTTTGTTAATACTTTTGGGTGTCTGGAACAGATTAATTGGATTTACATTATTTCTTATGGGAAAAAGGTTTCAGTTTTGGTGAATTTTGGTTTTCGGCAGACTCTCTGGAACAGATTAATCACGAAAATCAAGGGTCCACTGTAAAGGTAAGGAGGTTTTCATTGCATTTATGGATACAGGAAAGGCACATGATAGGGTGGATAGGGAAGCAATGTGGCAAATATTGAAAGTGTATGGAATATGGAATAGGTGTTATGTTACTGAAAGTAGTTAGTTTTTATGAGGATAGTGAGGCTCAGGTTGGAGTATGTAGGAGAGAAGATTATTATATTCAAGTAAAAGTAGGCCTTAGACAGAGATGCATGATATCATCATGATTGTTTAACATATTTACAGATGGGGTTGTAAAACAAGTGAATGCTAGGGTGTTGGGGAGAGGTATGGGGTTAAAATATGCAAATCTAATATAAAATGAGAGTTGTCACAGCTGCTTTTTGCTGATAACACTGCTTTTGGGAGATTCTGAAGAGAAGTTGCAAGCGTTGGTGGACAAATCTGGAAGGGTATGTAAAAAGAAGGATATTAAAAATGAATATAGATAAGACTTGGGTGATGAGGGTAGCAAACAATTTAGGTAATGAAAGATTGGATATCATATTGGAAGGAGGGAGTCTAGAGGAAGTGAATGTGTTGTTCATATATTTGGGAGGGGACTTGTCAGCAGGTGGGTCTATGAAAGATGAGGTGAACCATAGAAATGATGAGGGGAAAAAGGTGGATGGTGCACTGATGCATCTGTGGAGATAAAAAACATTATCCATGAAGGCAAAAAAGGGAATGTATGTGAAAATAGTGGGACCAATACTCTTAAATGGGTGTGAAGCATGAGCTGTGAATGTTGCAGCAAGGAGGAGGCTGGAGGCAATGACATGTCATGTCTGAGGGCAATATGTGGTATAAATATTATGCAGAGAATTCACAGCTGGTGTTAATGTTGCAGTTTTATAATTGTAGTGTCAGCACCTCTGGCAAGACAGTGATGGAGTAAATGATGATGAAAGTTTTTCTTTTTCGGGCCACCCTGCCTTGGTGGGAGATGGCCAATGTGTTAATAAAAAAAATAAATGAATTCATAGCTTGGAGAGTAGGAGGTGCAGGGTTATTAAAAGTACTATTCAGAGGGCTGAGAAAGGGTTATTGAGGTGGTTTGTACATTTAGAAAGATGGAGCAAAATGGAATGACTTGAAAGGTGTATAAATCTGTAGTGGAGGGAAAGTGGGGTAGGGGTCACCCTAGGAAAGGCTGGAGGGAGTAAAGAAGGTTTTGCGTGTGAAGGGCTTGGACGTCCTGCAGGCATGTGTGAGCGTCTTAGGAGTGAAGTGGGTTTTGGGACTTGATGAGATGTTGGTGTGAGCAAGGTAACATTTTATGAAAGGATGCAGGGAAACCAGTTAAATGGACTCGAGTCCTGGAAGTGGCAGGTACAGTGCCTGCACCCTGAAGCAGAGGTGGGGATATTTGCATGATAAGGTGATGAAGGTATCAAATGATTTAGATAAAGAAAAATTGGATATCAAATTGGAGAGGAGGAGTATGGAAAAAGTGAATGTTTTCAGATACTTGGGATTTGACGTGTCGGCAGATGGATTTATGAAGGATGAGATTAATCATAGAATTGATGAGGGAAAAAAGGTGAGTGGTGCGTTGAGGTATATGTGGAGACAAAAAACGTTATCTATGGAGGCAAAGAAGGGAATGTACGAAAGTATAGTGGTACCAACACTCTTATATGGGTGTGAAGCTTGGGTTGTGAATGCAGCAGCGAGGAGGCGGTTGGAGGCAGTGGAGATGTCCTGTCTAAGGGCAATGAGTGGTGTAAATATTATGCAGAAAATTCGGAGTGTGGAAATTAGAAGAAGGTGTGGAGTTAATAAAAGTATTAGTCAGAGGGCTGAAGAGGGGTTGTTGAGGTGGCTGGGTCATTTAGAGAGAATGGATCAAAGTAAAATGACATGGAGAGTGTTTAAATCTGTAGGGGAAGGAAGGCGGGGTAGGGGTCGTCCTCGTTAAGGTTGGAAGGAAGGGGTAAGGGAGGTTTTGTGGGCGAGGGGCTTGGACTTCCAGCAGGCGTGCGTGAGCATGTTCGATATGAGTGAATGGAGATGAATGGTATTTGGGACCTGACAATCTATTGGAGTGTGAGCAGGGGATTCAGGGAAACCAGTTATTTTTATATAGCCGGGCTTGAGTCCTGGAAATGGGAAGTACAATGCCTGCACTCTAAAGGAGGGGTTCGGGTTATTGGCAGTTTGGTGGGATGTGTTGTGTATCTTTATACGTATATGCTTCTAAGCTGTTGTGTTCTGAGCATCTCTGCAAAAACAGTGATTATGTGTGAGTGAGGTGAAAGTGTTGAATGATGATGAAAGTATTTTCTTTTTGGGGATTTTCTTTCTTTATGGTCACCCTGCTTCGGTGGGAGACGGCCGACTTGTTAAAAAAAAAAAAAAAAGAATCTGAAATGTAGTATGAGCATGCTTCTGCCAAGACAGTAATAAAGTGAATGATGGTGAAAGTGTTTCTTCTTTTTCGGGTCACCCTACCTCGGTGGGAGATGGCCTGTGTGTTAAAAAAAAAAAAAAATCATCTTTGTACTATATACTCAAAAATGTTAAAGTATTTACCCTTGTGCCTCTAAATTAGTATACTCTGCATCACACACTGATCCTGAATTCATTAATTCAGAATATTTTTCCTCAGAATTCATAAATAAATTATATAATTATAACATTCACATGGCAGTGCTAAATTCATAAGGGTCATACAATGGCTAGGGTGAATGGGAGGTAATCTATCAACATAAACATTTACGGATGCATAGTAATAAAAGTTAAAAAAAAAAAAAAAAAATCTCAGATAGGTTTTTAGTTAGCTTCACTTTAGCCAGATACAACAACTCAAATCAAAAATCTTACTTGTTTCACTAGTCTTCTATTTTCTTGAGAAGTTTTGGCCAACTGTCTCGTGAGATTCATGTTTTCTGTTGATAATGAAGAGAACTTCTCCTTGAGAGAACAACATTCTTGATGTTTTGTATGGATCTCCTGATTCAACTGCAAGTTTTTTTCTCTAAGTTTAATACTGTTTTCCTGAAAGCATAATGAAATAAATAAGAAAATGCAAAAAAACATACACTTGGAAAAGAAATTAAGAAATTTATCTAAACAGCAACCCAAAAACTGAAAGAAAAATTTTATCTTTCCATTTTTTCTACACAATCTGTTAACACCACAATCCACTATTTTGAACTAGATAAAACTTTGATACAGTGAATATTTTTGTTAACCACTAAGGTGTCTGCCACATATTAGTACAACATAGCAATCAGATTTGGTGACGTACTAGTACACATAATTCATAGTGCCCTCAAATCTGCTAAGAGCTGTAAATTTTGGCCTGGACATGAGTGAATGGGTCTGTGCAGTGGGTGTGCACAGCATGCAGTGCATAATGAGCACAGCATAAAAGAAAAACTACTCCATGCAGTGCATGATGAGCACAGCTAATCTCTGACCCTACACTTCAGTTAAAATACATCCTCTCCTCACTTAATGATGGGGTTCCCTTCCTAATACATGTAGTAGGTTAGTGATTGAACTGGTCATTAAGCGAGAAGCATACTGTACTGGTAGTGGGTTTGTGTCAACCATCTTTAGATATTTCTTTAACGTCACCTTTGCACCAAGAGGCTGTACAGTAGGACCCCTGTATCCGTGGGAAATACGTTCCAAGGACCTGCCGTGGATACCAAAACCATGGATAGTAGCAAACCCTATATAGAAGTCCTATACAAACCTATTATAAAGTTTAATTGATAAATTGTGCACAGTAAGTGGAGAATTATCACTTTTTCACTGATGGGAACACTTCATGACTTCTCTTAGGCTTTGAAGAACTTTCACCATCACTACTTTTTCACTTTGAGGCAATTATTAAGCAAAATTAAGGGTTAGTTTTGGGCCACAGTAAACTGACACAAAGGATACGGGACCTGCGGATACGAGGTCCTACTGTAGCAACTTTGGGGCATTTTCTAGGGTGGCTTTCATGTTTATTGCCAGTTTCTTGGTGCCAACAGATAGACTGGAAGACATACTAGTGAACTGGACAAAATATGGATCATTTTAGGACCAGAAGTGGTTTGAAATAAGCATCAAATTAGCAAGAAATGGTCAATTTTGGTTGATTTTTCCTTAGAAAGGTGGGTCTCCCCAGTCTACTTTGTGAATTTTGCTAGGTTTGTTTCACTTATATAGGACAGCCAAAAACCACTCTTGATTATGGTTTTTAAGCTAAAAATATTAGAAAAAAAAAAAAGATTTTTTCAATGTGACAATGTATTCAAAATGGAGGTAAAGCATTATATAAGAGATGCCTGGGGATATGATTAATAAACAGAGGGAAGGGTGCCTTAGTGGTTGGAATGCATAGTTTTTGTATTGGACTCCATTTTTTAATTGTAATTTGTTCATAATTGATTAAAATTAGCCAAATTACTGAATTATTGGAACTAAATGGGATAGTTTTAATAGTTGAATGGGCATTTTCTTGCAATCAATGAATAATATTCAAGGAATACTAGAAAACAGCAAAGAACTGGGCCAGTTTGAGCACAGGAATAGGGTTAAATAAGCCTCAAGATGGGCAAAAATCGTCGTTGAGGAAAGTAGTAGGTTAGAAGACAGCAACCGCCCAGAGAGGTACTACCGTCCTGCTAAATGAGTGTAAAATGAAAGCCTGTAATTGTTTTACATGATGGCAGGATTGCTGGTGTCTTCTGTCTGTCTCATAAACATGAAAGATTACAGGTATGTCTTGCTACTTCTACTTACACTCAGGTAACACTACACATGCATGCACAAGCATATACATACACTCCCCTCTGGGTATTCTTCTATTTTCTTACTAGTTCTTGTTCTTGTTTATTTCATCTTATCTCCATGGGAAAGTGGAACAGAATTCTTCCTCCGTAAGCCATGCGTGTTGTAAGAGGCAACTAACATGCCAGAAGCAAGGGGCTAGTAACCCCTTCTCCAGCATATGTTGCTAAAGTTATAAAGAGAAGCTTTTGTTTTTCTTTTTAGGCCATTCTGCTTCGGTGGGATATGGCGGGTTTGTTGAAAGAAGAAGTACAGTATTTCTATAAGTATTAATCAAATTTTGCATTTTTGGTGTCACTGCCTTTAGAAAAAGATTACCTACTATTATAAGGAATTCTTTTTTCAAAAAATGCCAACATAGACGGTTGAGGGACTGAACACTTCATAACAAGGTTGAAGAACTGATCACATCAAACACTATTTCTACATGTCTTCCACCATCTCGTTATTATTCTCTTAATTGGATTGATAGTCGTTAGTTAGTAAAATGTCTCTACATTAAAGATACCCAAGTAGTGCACCTGTCTTACTTGTCTGTCATTTCACAAAATATGTATATTGAAGATTCTAAATCTGTGTAAATTAAGTATTGAAAGCCTGATTTAGTTTAGTAAAGCTATCATAGGCCTGGACGAGCACAATTTGTACCAATTTCCAATTGTCTATTAGCCTGCCTTTAAGTAATACAAACTGAAAAATATTGAAATATGACAGCAAAGATCATCTGCCTATGCCTTCAACACTCATATTAGTTTGTTTCTGTCAATATACAATAACAGGCTCTTTTCTTTGGCTTTGGTTATTTCAATAGGCTCCCTCTCATATGGCTGGGGGAGGGGTGTTCAAGTTCATTTTATCTGAGGTCTCTTCTTTTTTAAATATACATGTACTCTGGATTCTTCCTTTAATATCTCATACTTCATCCTCTGATTCTGTCAATTTTGCAATAAGCTTTTATTCTTTATGTATTATTTTGTTTTTCAGCAATATTACAATCTAAACCATAAAAGGGCCTTAAAAGAAAATCATTACCAACTTGGTATCCCTTGTCTTGAAGGAAATTAGTGTCTTTCAACAAGGTTACTTCCAGGTGCTTACATTTCTCTTCCACACTATCAAGTGGCTTGATTGCCTTTTGTATTCTATTTCAGTTTTTATTTCTTAATTTATTCCATGCCAAGAGTAGCTGGAATTTGTCCTCACTGAATATCACATTGTTTTCTGTAGCCCAGCAAAAGATTTAGGTTACTGGTAAATTTGCTTAAAAGTTTGTTAAATTCTAGATGGATGTCACTCATACAAATTCTAATATTGTATGCAAAGGCTGATACACGGTTATGATTTGTAGCTTTGTCTATCTCAAACATGAAAAACAGAATTGGGGCATGCACTGAGGAACATAACTCCACAGTAACACTGGAGGCTTCTAATTTTACTTTATTTTTTTTTCAACTGGGTAGAAAATGCAAGATCCATTTGCAAACTTTTAAAGTTACTCATTTTGCATGCATTTAGTGTATTATTACACCATGATCACAATTATTGAAGGGTTTCACAAAACCTGCATATTATATCTGCATTTTGCTCATCTTTTAGTGCATCCAAAATCAAGTTTTAGTGGTTTAATTATTGTGGTAGACAGGAGCATCCTGCTATTAAAATACATCCTAGTACATAGAAATTGGTTAAATCTTATGCAGTGAAAAGATACAATTGGTTAAGGATTAAAAAAATGGACACATTATCAGGCATAGAAAATATATGGTACTTTTAAGATCTTTTAAATACCTGTAATTTCCCAATTTCTCCAAATAGTTCAGACTTTCCACTAATAAGTCTCTGGTTATCATCTTCTATGAGTGCCATTTTCTTCTGCAGTTTGTGGTATCGCTCCTTCATGTTTCTAAGAGCAACCTGAAGCAAGGTGAAATGAGCACGTAGGCGTTAGGTATAGCAATATCATGCACATTCAATAAAGCAAGGTGTACTCTAAGGCTAAAATATAAAATATTTCAGGTGTCTTATAGTTATTTCTGTATCTATTTCAGAGGAACAGCCATAGCAAAGCAAAACCATGCAAGTTATTCTCAACACTTACTCATTACTGTAAACCTGCATTTTGAAATTAGATGAGAAATGTTACTGAAGTGTGAATGATTTCATTCCAACACTGCAATCCTTCTTAGCACCCTCTAATGGTTTTTAAAACCCATCTGAACTGTCTGTACCACTTCTTTAATTCAGAATTTTATTTGAATGCCCTCCCAAATACATTATTCCACAAAAAATAATTGTACTGCATTACAATATATTAAATAAAATCAAAACACCGCATAATTTTTTATAACTAAAATAAAAATTTAAATATAAAAATGGAAGGACCACTAACTTCCTCAATAAATTTGAGACAAACAACTTGTCCTAGCACTAAGACAACAAATATGTCATCTAATGGTTGTGGATTTGTGTAAACCATCTTTGATATTGTTTTAAAGTCACCTTTGCACCATTTATAATATTTCTGGTGTATTTTTGAAAGAATTAGAGGTAAATCAGAATGTAGGATTGCGGATGAGCAAGGAGGCTTTAGAGTGGGTAGGGGATGTGTAGATCAAGTGTTTACATTGAAGCATATATGTGAACAGTATTTAGATATAGGTAAGGAAGTTTTTATTGCATTTATGGATTTAGAAATGGCATATGATAGAGTGGATAGGGGAGTAATGTGGCAGATGTTGCAAGTATATGGAATAGGTGGTACGTTACTAAATGCTGTAAAGAACTTTTATGAGGATAGTGAGACTCAGGTTAGGATGTGTAGAAGAGAGGGAGACTACCTCCTGGTAAAGCTTAACAGGGATGTGTAATGTCACCATGGTTGTTTAATATATTTATAGATGGGGTTGTAAAAGAAGTAAATGCTAGGGTGTTCGGGAGAAGGGTGGGATTAAATTATGGGGAATCAAATACAAAATGGGAATTGACACAGTTACTTTTTGTTGATGATACTGTGCTTATGGGAGATTCTAAAGAAAAATTGCAAAGGTTAGTAGATGAGTTTGGGAGTGTGTGTAAAGGTAGAAAGTTGAATTGAACATAGAAAAGAGTAAGGTGATGAGGGTATCAAATGATTTAGATAAAGAAAAATTGGATGTCACATTGGAGAGGAAGAGTATGGAAGAAGTGAATGTTTTCAGATATTTGTGAGTTGACGTGTCAGCGGATGGATTTATGAAGGATGAGGTTAATCATAGAATTGATGAAGGAAAAAAGGTGAGTGGTGCATTGAGGTATATGTGGAGACAAAAAAAACATTATCTATGGAGGCAAAGAAGGGAATGTATGAAAGTATAGGGGTACCAACACTCTGATATGGGTGTGAAGCTTGGGTTGTAAATGCTGCAGTGAGGAGACGGTTGGAGGCAGTGGAGATGTCCTGTCTAAGGGCAATGTGTGGTGTAAACATTATGCAGAAAATTCAGTGTGTGGAAATTAGGAGAAGGTGTGGAGTTAATAAAAGTACGTATTAGTCAGAGGGCTGAAGGGGGGTTGTTGAGGTGGTTTGGTCATTTAGAGAGAATGGATCAAAGTAGAATGACATGGAGAGCATATAAATCTGTAGGGGAAGGAAGGCGGGGTAGGGGTCATCCTCGAAAAGGTTGGAGGGAGGGGGGGTAAAGGAGGTTTTGTGGGCAAGGGGCTTCGACTTCCAGCAAGCGTGCGAGAGCGTGTTAGATAGGAGTGAATAGAGACAAATAGTACAGTGGACCCCCGCATAACGATCACCTCCGAATGCAACCAATTATGTAAGTGTATTTATGTAAGTGCGTTTGTACGTGTATGTTTGGGGGTCTGAAATGGACTAATCTACTTCACAATATTCCTTATGGGAACAAATTCGGTCAGTACTGGCACCTGAACATACTTCTGGAGTGAAAAAATATCATTAACCGGGGGTCCACTGTATTTGGGACCTGACGAGCTGTTGGAGTGTGAGCAGGGAAATATTTAGTGAAGGGATTCAGGGAAACTGGTTATTTTTATATAGCTGGACTTGAGTCCTGGAAATGAGAGGTACAATGCCTGCACTTTAAAGGAGGGGTCTGGGATATTGGCAGTTTGGAGGGATATGTTGTGTATCTTTATACGTATATGCTTCTAAACTGTTGTATCCTGAGCACTTCTGCAAAAACAGTGATTATGTGTGTGAGGTGAAAGTGCTGAATGATGATGAAAGTATTTTCTTTCTGGGGATTTTCTTTCTTTTTGGGACACCCTGCCTTGGTGGGAGACGGCCGACTTGTTAAAAAAAAAAAATTTAATGTTTGTACAGTAGTGCACTGTATATTGAAATAAACAGAATAGAGGAAATCAGCTCCAATATACATTATTTAGGTATAAATATTGGTCAAAGAGTCCATCGTAAGTCCAAGGCAATGGTAAACGAGTACATCGCTAAGTGAGGAAAGGTTGTACATGTACTTCCATGGGCATACTACAGTGGTAATATTTTGCGGCTTATACCCCTCTGAAGAAGAATGATCAACCACTCAAAAATTTCTAAGACAGTGGGATGAAAGATCTTAAAAGGGTCAAGACCTAGAATCAATAATAATAAATGAATTTTAAACATAGTCCATGGAAAAAGGGTCTGGGGCAGTATTACCATTCCAACCAGCTTATTGGTTAAAAAAACAAACCTATTAGTACATTAGCAAGTAAACTGCCATTATGAGTAATATCAGATAAGGCAGCAACAAACCCAGAGGCTACATCAGATCTGGAGGTGTCTATGCATAAACAAAAAGGAAACACATGCTCAAAAAAAAAAATGCTGCAAGAACACCTATAGCAGTTAACCAGGTGCAATATCACACTTAATCTGATCAAAATAATGACAGATCACCCACAACATCGAAGACTGAGGAACTGCAGAAAGTACCACAGAAGCTACTGCTATGTGGGAGAGTCTAGGTAATCCTACCAGAGTACACGCTTTTCTGATGATTACCCTATCAACCCAGCTATTGCTATTTGTAATCCACACGTCAACACAACAACCTTCACAACCAGATTAAGCAAGAGCCTACTGCAGAAACTCACCAAGCCGTCTCTGAAAGTTATCAACCGGTATGTTTACATTGCTCTCTAGGCTTAAAAAATCAAGACTCCTCTTCTACAATAGATTTATTTTGATACCTCAACAATACCCTACACTCCAATAAATCATCAGTCCTCTTATGCTTAGTTAAGTTTTCCTATACGGTATTGTATAAATTATGAGATATCTATCATCTGTGTTCCAAAGATTATAGTCACAGAAGTTAAAGCAATCTTACTACATCTGATACATATTAGAACTATGCAAACATTAAGAGAATTTTGTAATAATTTATAGGAATGTAATAAACTCAGACACACATCTTTCAATTTAAACCAAAAATATTAAGTGAACTCGGTTCGATAAGACATGCAGAGAGTAAAGACCCACAGAAGAAAAAAAATTTAAGTCAATGTAAAAATGCACAAGCAGCTATAAGAAAAGGATAAAAATGTGAAATACAAACCATGTGAAAAACTTTTGTCTTTAAAATTATGCTAGTACAGTGGTCCCTCGATAATCGTCGGGCTCAATAGTCGTCCTTTTCTGAAATTGTCGCGTTATTTTCGTCCAAACATTGGCTCGCAAATCATTGGTTGACTCGCTAATCGTCGTTTGTCCTGGACGCGTACTCATGGGTCTGAGCTGCCTTGGCCTCCCTTCCCAGCCAGTGTGCCATTGTTTACCAGTGAGCGACGGTCCCCTCACTTGGTCATATGAAATATTTCATAATATTCCATTCATTTTAGTGCTTGCAAGTGCTAAACAAGCTACCATGGCTCCAAAGAAAGCTCCTAGTGCCAAGCCTTTTGTAAAGGTGAGAAATATGACTGAATTTAAGAAAAACATCATTGAACAATATGGAAGTGGCGTACGTGTGGCCGAACTGGCCAGGATGTATAACAAACCCCATACAACCATATCTTCCATCATGGCAAAGAAAAAGGATATCACAAATAACCCGCACATAAAAGACAGAAGCTTACGACGACGTTTCGGTCCGACTTGGACCATTGACAAAGTCACACTAACAGGGGAGGAGCAGGACGGCTATATATAGGCAGGAAGAGGTGGAGGTAGTAGTAGTGGTAGTAGTAGTAGTAGTAGTAGTAGTACAAGAATTGTATATAATACCGACAGGATGAAATGACACACGCACAACACCCGGGCATCCTCACCGTAGACGTTTCGCCATCCAACCAGCCACTGGATGGCGAAACGTCCACAACAAAGACAACCAGACGCCGCACATGTGTCTGGTTGTCTTTGTTGTGGACGTTTCGCCATCCAGTGGCTGGCTGGATGGCGAAACGTCTACGGTGAGGATGCCCGGGTGTTGTGCGTGTGTCATTTCATCCTGTCGGTATTATATACAATTCTTGTACTACTACTACTACTACTACTACCACTACTACTACCTCCACCTCTTCCTGCCTATATATAGCCGTCCTGCTCCTCCCCTGTTAGTGTGACTTTGTCAATGGTCCAAGTCGGACCGAAACGTCGTCGTAAGCTTCTGTCTTTTATGTGCGGGTTATTTGTGTATCGTTCCAGTCACGGTATTGTGCCTTTTTGTTATTTATAAAAAGGATATCAAGGAGCTGCTGTTGCTTGGAGAAAATTGTGGCCAGCTTGTGTCCACAAGAGGGATTTTGAAGGGTTTGTGGCTGACCCTGATGAGCCTATGTCAGTTGTGAAATCTGTTGTGGCATTGGGGATTTCCATGGGGTTGGATGTGAGTTTGGAGGATGTGGAAGAGTCGGTGGAGGACCACAACGAAGAGCTAACCACTGAGGAGCTGCAAGAGCTTCAGCAGGAACAGCAACAGATCGCAGCTCAGAATCTTGCTGCAGAGGAGGAGGAAGAGAGATGGAAGAAGGTGCCTTCTTCAGAAATTAAGGAGATTGTTGAAATGTGGGGTAGGATGGAAAGATTTATGGAGAAACATCACCCTGAGAAGGATGTTGCAAGCCATATCGGCAACTTATACAGTGAGAGAGTCTTGGCCCATTTTAGGGAAGTTTTAAAGAGATGCCAGAAACAGAGCTCTCTGGACACTTTTTTTGCGAGACAGGACTCCAGTGACTCTCAAGCTGGTCCTAGTGGCATTAACCCCAGAAAAGGACTTGGTACCTGAGGTGTTGATGGAAGGGGATTCCCTTCCAAACAGTACCTAATCCAATCTCTCTCCTCCTCCAGTCTTCCATACACTAAGAAAAATCGCCAATAAAGGTAAGTGTTATGCTGTTAATGTTTCATTCATCATGTCCCATTGCATTGTTTATGTACTACATCTATATTTCATGTAAAAATTTTTTTTGTTTTAATACTTCTGGGTTATAGAGAAGATCATCAGAAGAGTGGTAGAGCACATAGAAAGGAGTGGGTTCACACATGACAGCCAGCATGGCTTTAGGGATGGAAAGTCCTGTGTCAAACTTACCGGACGACTGGAGGAGATAATACAGTGGAACCTCGGTACTCAAACTTAATTCGTTCCAGAAAGCTGTTAGAGTACCAATCTGTTTGAGTACTGAACGAATTTTTCCCATGAGGAATAATGTAAATTTGATTAATCCATTTCAGACCCCCAAAAGTACATTTAGTGACTTTGCGCTGTATTTTTGTATGGTACTGTACTTGTGATTGCATTCTCGTTTTCTTGGTGTCATTTGATAGAAAGATGTACAGAAATAGAGATGATTTTGAATGGTTTACAGACTAAAAGTACAGTAGACCCTCGGCTAATGCCTGCATCGGCTAATGCCAAATTTGGCTAACACCTCACTTTGGCGTAATAAAATTGGCTCGGCTAACACCAAAAAACACGGTTAAGAGCTTTCATCCTGAACGTGTCGGCACAGCGCCATGAGCGGGCCCGGCCACTCATTCCATGTACCAGCCAGTGTGTCACTGATTATAAAGCCAGTGAGGACAATTCTGCGCATACATGCGATATATATAATTGTATTTACATTATTTCTTATGGGGAAAATTTATTTGAAAATCGTCTATTTCGATAATCGTCGCACTTCCAGGAATGGATTAACGACGATAAACGAGGGACCACTGTATTATACACACTAAATGATGTCATCTGAGAGACTTGCATAAATTTTACCTGTAGGGCATATGTGGAGCCTGAAGCGTCTATGTTGTAGTTAGGACTTCGCTCTGGAGTTCGTGGACTGGTTGCAGGACTGCTGGACGAAAATGGGGTGACCCGGTCTGACCCACTGCCAGGCAACACACGTCTAGAGTTGTACATGGTTTATGTGCCGAAAACTAACATCAAACAGGTACATAGCTAGATTTTGATTATGTATACAACTAGCAACACTCAAAACTGCAATCTTATTTTACAAGATTATAGGATATTCTGCCTATCTAAAGTTTACTATGAAGAACTTCTTGTAGTTAAAGGTAGGAGAGGAGAATTATTAAATGGAGAGTTAGAGGCAGTATCAGGAAAATGGAGGAAATATTTTGAGGAACTGGTAAACGTTGGTGAAGATAGGGAAGCTGTGATATCATGTACAGGGCAAGGAGGAATAACATCTTATAGGAGTGAGGAGGAGCGAGTTGTGGGTGTGGGGGAAGTTCGTGAGGCGGTGGGTAGAATGAAAGGGTTAAGGCAGCCGAGATTGATAGGATAAAGATAGTAATGTTTAAAGTGGGTGGGGATATAGCTCTGGAGTGGTTGGTGCTTTTATTTAATAAATGTATGGAAGAGGGTAAGGTACCTAGGGACTGGCAGAGAGCATGCATAGTTTTTTTTAAAAAGGCAAAGGGGACAAAAGAGAGTGCAAAAATTATAGGGGAATACGTCTGTTGAGTATACCTGGTAAAGTGTATAGTAGAGTTATTATTGAAAGAATTAAGAGTAAGACAGAGAGCAGGATAGCTGATGAATAAGGAGGCTTTAGGAAGGGTAGGGGGTGTGTAGACCAAGTGTTTGCAGTGAACATAAGAAAGAAGGAAAACTGCAGCAGGCCTACTGGCCCATGCAAGGCAGGTCCAATTCTCCCACCGGCTTAAGCCAATGCCTTGACCTAGTCAGGTCAGTCACATTCACTTAAGGGAGGAGCACAGCATCCGACCTAGTAGCACAAGCTAGTCATGTCCAACTCACACCCACCCACACCCACTCATGTATTTACTAAACCTATTTTTAAAACTATACAACATCTTACCTTCTATGAAAGTAATCGGGAATTTGTTCCACTCATCCACAACTCTATTACTGAACCAGTGCTTTCCTATATCCTTCCTGAATCTGAATTTTTCCAATTTAAAACCAGTGATGCGAGTCCTGTCTATGATAGATATTTTTAGCAAGCTATTTACATCCCCTTTATTAATTTGTGTTTTCCATTTATACACCTCAGTCATATCCCCCCTAATTCTACACCTTTCTAGAGAGTGCAGATTCAGAGCCCTCAGTATATCCTCATAGGGAAGATTTCTGATACATGTGACCAACTTTGTCATCCTCCTTTGTATGTTTTCCAGGACATTTATATCCATCCTGTAATATGGTGACCAAAACTGCACAGCATAATCTCAATGAGGCCTAACCAAAGATATATAGAGTTGAAGAACAACCTGAGGACTTCTATTATTTATACTTCTTGCTATGAAGCCAAGGATTCTGTTAGCTTTATTGCGAACACTTGTGCACTGTTGTCTTGGTTTCAGATTACTGCTAACCAGAATTCCTAAATCCTTTTCGCAATCCGTAATATTAAGATGTACGTACATTTAGTTCATGTGTGGCATGGTTCTTTTCCTGTCCAACATTTAGAACTTTGCATTTGTCCATATTAAACTGTATCTGCCACTTCTCCGACCACTGCATCAGTCTACTCTAATCATCCTGGAGAGCTCTAATGTCCTCATTAGAATGAATTGGATCGCCTATTTTGGTGTCATCAGCAAATTTGCTTATGCTGCTATTTATTCCCACATCTATGTCGTTTATGTAAATTGTGAACAACGGGCTCAATACTGACCCTTGTGGAACACAGTTTGTGACGTGCCCCCATTCTGATTTCTCCCCACTTATGTAAACTCTCTGCTGCCTATTTGTCAGCCATGCCTCTACCCAGGAAAAAATTTCTCCTATTCCATGTGCCGTAAGTTTTCTCATGAGCCTCTGATGTGAAACTCTATCGAAAGCCTTACTGAAGTCCATATACACAATATCATATTCAGTACCATGATCTACCTCCTCAAATACCTTAGTGAAGAAAGTTAGTTAATTCCTAAGACAGGAACGCCCCTTTGTAAAACCGTGCTGAGATTCATTAATCAATTTATGCCTTTCAAGATGGCTACGAATTACATCAGCAATTACTGCTTCCATAAATTTACCAACTATGGAAGTAAGGCTTATTGGTCTATAGTTCAAAGCAAAGGACCTGTCACCTGCCTTGTAAATAGGTATTACATTTGCCATTTTCTACTTGTCTGGCACTATGCCAGTTTGTAGTGATATAATGAAAAGATTAGCCAAGGTATGCTAAATTCCTCTTTACGTTCCTTTAACCCCTTGACTGTCACAGCCCCCAATCCTGAGGTGTCTCTTGGTGTCGCAAAATTAAAAAAAAAAAAAAAAAGTTTTTCTTATGAAATGATAGAGAATCTTTTCCCGATTGTAATGACACCAAAAGAGCGAAATTTGATGGAAAACTGATGGAATTACGCTCTTGCGAAGTTAGCGACCTCAGCGATATTTACAAATCGGCTATTTCGCCCACTTTGACTCCTATTTTCCGCTAATTCCATTGTTCCAGTCGACCAAACTCATAGCCATTTCTTTAGAACTCCATTTTTTCTATCGACTGAGCACAAGAAATTACCCATTTACCGATTTAAACTACCCAATAACATGGTCAGAAATTTGCAATTTGGCCAATTTCACAAAAATTAAAAAATATGACAATTTCAAAATAAAGTCCAGAATGAACAATACAGACATTCCTGGCTCTAAAATAACATTTTCTTTGCTCATCAGTCATGTCTCCAGGCCCCTCTGATATTTTGAATTTCTATTTTGAATTTTTATTCAAACAAAAAATAGAAGATTTACTGTTATGCAGACTACTGCAATACACTGTACTATAATAATTGTACAAATAATGTCAACCCATTCATGAATGCATATTAGAATGGCTAGTTGGACATTTATTGGACAACGACATCAATTGTTTACTTCTGAACATTGGCAAAAATCAAACATTTCCCCTTCTTTGAGCTCCATTTCCAGGTTCTTTTCATAGTAAAACCAATCAAAATCACCTCTACGTCTATAACATGTTTTCCACTCTATCAAATGAGACCAGGAAAACGAGAATACAACCATTAATACTATACGAAAATAGACCACAAAGTCGGCATTTTAATTAAATAAAAAACGGTCGGAGTTTTTTTTTTTCTCATTATGCACTGCGTGCTCCAGGATTTTTTTATATGGTGCACACTGACCATACAGACCCATTCTCTCACATGTGGACCTACCAGCTTTCTCCTGCTTGATTTGAAGCCGCTAGAATTTAAGAGTAGATATCCGTCAAACACGGTGGCTCGTAAGATGTATACAGTGGACCCCCGGTTAACGATTTTAATCCGTGCAAGAGGGCTCATCGTTATGCGAAATAATCGTTATGCGAATGAATTTTCCCCATAAGAAATAATGGAAATAAAATTAATCCGTGCAAGACGCCCAAAAGTATGAAAAAAAATTTTTTTTACCACATGAAATGTTAATTTTAATACACACAAACTGAAAAAGGCATGCACAATTAAATGACACTTACTTTTATTGAAGATCTGGTGATGATTGATGGGATGGGAGGAGGGGAGAGAGTGTGTTAGTGTTTAGAAGGGGAATCCCCTTCCATTAGGACTTGAGGTAGTAAGTCCTTTTCTTGGGTTACTTCCCTTCTTCTTTTAATGCCACTGGGCCAGCTTCAGAGTCACTGGACTTCTTTGCACAAGATATCTGTCCATAGGGGCCCTTTGTACCTCTCGTTCCTTTATGACTTGCCTAAAGTGTTTCACAACATTGTCAGTGTAATAAATCACCCAGCACGGCTTGCAATAGCTGTTGTGAGGGTGATTTTCATCCATGAAGGTTTGCACTTCAAGCCATTTAGCACAGATTTCCTTTATCTTTGTAGTAGGCAACTTCTTCAATTTTCTCTCCCCTCCTTGAACCAGTTTCCTCAGGTTGGCCTCTTGCTCTTGAAGTTGATCTATCAGCTCATCAGTGGTTGTTCTTCATTGTCCTCCTCCACCAACTCTTCCACATCCTCCCCACTAACCTCCAACCCCAAGGACTTTCCCAATGCCAAAATTTGGATTCCTAAAACTGGCAAAGGATTCTCCAGGGTTAGCCTAAAACCCCTTCAAAATCCCTTTTGTCTACACATTCTGGCCACAGTTTCTTCCAAGCAGAGTTCAAGGTCCTCTTTGGTCACTTCCTCCAAGCCTTACCTATAAGGTTTACACAATTTGAGGTTATTAAAGTGATTCTCAAAACTCTCTTAGAGTCAGTTGAGTTTCTGAGGTCTTTTACAAAGCACCTTTTCAAACAGAGCTTTTGTGTACAGTTTCTGTGAAGTTGGAAAAAAACCCTGCTGGTCCATGGGCTGCAGGAGAGGAGTGGTATTAGGAGGCAAAAAAATTCACCTTAATGAAGCTCATGTCCCATAAAGTCGCTCTGCCACGTCTGTAGGTGACCAGGGGCATTGTCTAACACCCGGAGGCACTTAAGTTCTAATTTCTTTTCAGTTAGGTAATTTTTCACATTGGGGGCAAATGCATGGTGTAACCCGTTATAGAAAATTCCTAGTGACCCCTGCCTTACTGTTTGCCCCCCACAGCACACACAAATTATCCTTGAGGACTTCTTTTGCCTGAACGCTCTGGGGGTTTCAGAGTGGGTACTAAAAAAAGGCTTCACTTTGCAATCACCAGTAGCATTGGCACACATCAACAAAGTAAGCCTGTCTTTCATAGGTTATGTCCTGGGAGTGCCTTTTCCTCCTGAGTAATGTAGGTCCTGCTTGGCATTTTCTTCCAGAAAGGCCTGTTTCTCACAAATTTAACCCCTTGTTCAGGTTTCAGTCCTTCAGTTTTCTATGTAAATCCCTTTAATTTTCCTGCACATATTTTTCAGCGCTTTGTGGTCCGAACTGGCAGCCTCACCATGCCTTATCACACTATGGATGCCACTACGCTTCTTAAATCTCTCAAACCACCTTTGCTGGCCTTAATTCACTCACATCATACTAGTTGCGGCATTTTTTTAATTAAATCCTCATGCAACTTCCTAGCCTTTTCACATATGATCGTTGCTTGAGAGACGCTATCTCCCTGCTATTGTTTTTCATTTATCCACACCAATAAGAGTCTCTCAAATCTTCCATCACTTGAGATCTTTGTTTCGAAAACACAGTTGAACCTTTGGGAAGAACAGCTTCCTTGATTGTCTTTTGGTGCCCACAATAGTAGCGATGGTTGATTGGGGTTTCTTGTACGCTTGACTAGGTCGGCTATACGCACTCCACTTTTTATACTTATCAATTATTTTCTTTCTTCATCTCTATAGTAATTCTTACCCTTTGAGGTGTAGGGTTGGCACTAGAAGCTTTCTTGGGGCCATGGTCACTTATTTTCCAGAAAACAGCACCGAAAATACTGTAATAATACGAAATATTCCGAGTGTATGCTTGGATGTTACCGCGGAGGCTGGCTGGTAAACAATGGGACGGGGCGGCACATGTGAGGCTGGGTGAGGGCAATTGGACGCGTTTTCGGACGAAAATCGGCATGCGGGTTTTTAATCGGTATGCGCGGCAAAAAAATTTTGCGATTAAAAGTAAACGTTTTTGCGGAAAAAATCGCTATGTGATGCCATCGTTATGCGGGGGTCCACTGTATTTCTTTCTTTCAACACACCGGCCGTATCCTACCAAGGCAGGGTGGCCCAAAAAGAAAAACAAAAGTTTGTCTTTTTAAATTTAGTAATTTATACAGGAGAAGGGGTTACTAGCCCCTTGCTCCTGCCATTTTGAACTGAATTGAATTGAATTGAATTGAATTGAAGTTTAGTCGCCTCTTACGACACGCATGGCTTACGGAGGAAGAATTCTGTTCCACTTCCCCATGGAGATATGAGGAAATAAACATGAACAAGAACTAGAAAGAAAATAGAAGAAAACCCAGAGGGGTGTGTATATATATGCTTGTATATGTATGTGTAGTGTGACCTAAGTGTAAGTAGAAGTAGCAAGACGTACCTGAAATCTTGCATGTTTATGAGACAGAAAAAAGGGCACCAGCAATCCTACCATCATATAAAACAATTACAAGTTTCCGTTTTACACTCACTTGGCAAGACGGTAGTACCTCCCTGGGCGGTTGCTGTCTACCAACCTACTACCTTTAAGACGTACATATACGACCGAAACAGTCAAAGGGTTAATACCCTTGCAAAGAGTTCATCAGGGCCTGAGGATTTGTTAGGTTTTAATTTCTCTATTTGTCTGAGGACCATGTCACTACTTACCCCAATAGTGCATAGTTTATTATCATCCTGTTCTACATAATTTATTATTTCTGGAATTTCGCTGGTATCTTCTTGAGTAAAAACTGAGAGGAAGTAGGTATTGAAAAGTTCACACATTTCCTTATCACTATCAGTGATCTGACCTGAGTTACTCTTAAGTGGGCCTATCTTGTCCCTAAACTTACTTCTGTATACCTGAAAGAACCCTTTTGGGTTAGTCTTCGAATCCCTTGTGACTTTAGCCTCATAATCCCTTTTTGCTTTTCTTATTCCTTGTTTTATTTCTCTTTAATTGAATATACTGAATTCTTTTGACATGCCTATATATGCCTCTCTTTTGACCAATGAGATGTTTTAATCTATTGTTTATCCATTTGGGATCATTTTTGTTAGGTCTAATTTCCCTACTCGGGAAAAATGTTGTCTGGGCAGCTAGAACTATGCTCTGAAATACATCATATTGGCAACCAACCCTACCTACCTGACCCATAGTAAGGTCATTCCAATTTAGCTTACCCAAGTAATTTCTCAGTCCCATGAAGTTGGCCTAGCGGAAATCTGGGGTAGCGACTTGATTGCAGTTATCTGGGTAATTCCATGATATATTGAAACTAAGTGATTTGTGATTGCTTTCCCCTAGCTCATCATTTCCTCAAGATTATTAACTAGTGATTCTTTGCTGGCAAGAACCAAGTCAAGCAGGATGTTTCCTCTAGTTGGTTCTGTCACAAACTGTTTTAAAAAGCAGTCCTGAACCATATCAAGAAAGTCACTAGATTCAAGATTTCCTATCACACTGTTCCAATCAATTTGTCTAAAGTTAAAATATCCCATTAACACAACACTTTCATATCTGGACGCCTTATGAATTTCGTCCCATAGCAGCCTACTGCACTCGCTATCAAGGTTTGGGGGCCCACAAATCACACCCAGACTAATTTTTCATGACCTTCAAGAAGCTGTAGCCAAACAGATTCTGTGTCCGATGTTCCTATCTTACATCTTGTCTAACACAACAATTTAAATTATCTCTGACATACATTGCCACTCTACCACCCTGTTGACCCTATCAGTGTGGAATAGTTTATAACCCTGTATGTTGCATTCAGAAGGCATTTCTCTATCTTTCAAGTTGAACCAGGTCTCTGTTATAGCAATAACATCTATATTACCTGCACTTGCAAGTAATCTTAGCTCATCTATCTTATTTCTTAGACTCCTACTATTTGTATAGTAAACCCCAAGAGAGTTAGTCACTTGTTGCTCTCTACTCTCTCTCTCTCTCTCTGTTTGTTGAGCAATTGCTTTGCCTTTACTAGCAACTTTATTTTGAATATTATCTTTTAAACATATTACTGGGGTATCCTGGTAATATCTGCTGTTTTTAACTCTAATGCTGCAGCCTGATTGTTTTTCACAAACACCCATACCTCTATAATCTACCAGTTTAAATTCCTAGGTGAACAGTATTTAGATAAGGGTAAGGAGGCATTTGTGGCATTTATGGATTTGGAAAAGGCATATGATAGGGTGGATAGGAGGGGCAATGTGATGTTGCAAATGTAAGGAATAAGAGGTAGGTTACTGAAAGTGGTGAAAAGTTTTTACGAGGATAGTGAGGCTCAGGTTAGATTATGTAGGAGAGAGGGAGAATATTTCCCAGTAAAAGTAGGCCTTAGACAAGGATGTGTGATGTCACCATGGTTATTCAATATACAGTGGACCCCCGGTTAACGATATTTTTTCACTCAAGAAGTATGTTTAGGTGCCAGTACTGACCGAATTTGTTCCCATAAGGAATATTGTGAAGTAAATTAGTCCATTTCAGACCCCCAAACATACATGTACAAACGCACTTACATAAATACACTTACATAATTGGTCGCATTCGGAGGTGATCGTTATGCGGGGGTCCACTGTACTTATACATGGGGCTGTAACAGAAGCGAATGCTCTGGTGTTGGGAAGAGGTGTGAGATTAAAAGATAAAGTATCTAATACAAACTGGGAGTTGTCACAGTTGCCCTTTGTTGATGGCACTGTGCTTTTGGGAGATTCTGAAGAGAAGTTGCAGAGGTTGGTGGATGAGTTTGGTAGGGTATGTAAAAGAAGAAAATTAAAAGTGAATATAGGAAAGAGTAAGGTGATGAGGATAACAAAACATATTAGGTAACAAAAGATTGGATATCAAATTGGAGGGAGAGAGTATAGAGAAGGTGACACTATTCAGATATTTAGGAGCGGACGTGTCAGCAGACAGGCCTATGAAAGATGAGGTGAATCACAGAACTGACGAGGGAAAAAAGGTGAGTGGGGCACTGAGGAGTCTGTGGAGACAAAGAACTTTGTCCATGAAAGCAAAGAGGGGAATGTATGAGAGTATAGTTATACCAATGCTCTTATATGGGTGCAAAGCATGGGTGGTGAATGTTGCGAGAAGGAGAAGGCTGGAGGCAGTGGAGATGTCATGTCTGAGGGCAATGTGTGGTGTGAATATAATGCAGAGAATTCATAGTTTGGAAATTAGGAGGAGGTGCAGAATTACCAAAACTATTATCCAGAGGGCTGAGGAGGGGTTACTGTGGTGGTTTGGACATGTAGAGAGGCTAGAACGAAATATAATGGCTTCAAGTGTATAAATCTGTAGTGGAAGGAAGGTGGGGTAGAGGTTGGCCTAGGAAAGATTGGAAGGAGGTGCTAAAGTTGGTTTTGTATGCGAGGGGCTTAGACTTCCAGCAAGCATGTGTGAGCGTGTTAGATAGGAGCGAATGGAGACGAATGTTTTTTAGGACTTGATGTGCTGTTGGAGTGTGAGCAGGGTAATATTCATGATGGGATTTAGGGAAACCAGAAGGCCGGACTCGATTCCTGGAGGTGGGAAGTACAGTGTCTGCACTCTGAAGGAGGGGTGTTAATGTTGCAGTTTTATAACTGTAGTGTAAGCACACTTCTGGCAAGACAGTGATGGAGTGAATGATGGTGAAAGTTTTTCTTTTTCAAGCCATCCTACCTTGGTGGGAAACCGCTGATGTATTAATAAAAATAATAAAATAATGCTAAATGATTCACTTGCCCACATAAAGGCCAATATATGAGGGAATTAAAATTAACTTAAGAGAAAGTAATAATTCAAACCTTACTTGCAAAACTGTTCTTATAACAAATTAAGCAGATGAGCAAACCATAGAAGTGTTACATAAAAAAAAGTCCCTTAACAGTACAATGTAAGAAAATTTAAATTTGACTACTTCATTTGGAGTTAACAGTGATACTAGCTTTTGCAAACTGCTGATTTTAACTTACAGCAGGGTAAAAAAAAATTTAATTTTTAAAAATCACTTTACCTTTCTGTCATTTTAAACAGTACATTATATAGTGATTCCTATAATACTGTACTACCTTTCCAAGTTATAAGGCCAGATCTGAAACTTGGCTGTGGGATGATAATCTCTGGAACCATCAACAGAAATAACAGATTTGTCAAATCAATACTACATTCATGTGTGTTTATGAAATGCACTTCCTGAACTTACCCTGAGGAGTGTTTTCGCTCCTGCCTTGGCTGAGAAGGGACGACTGGTGCTCTGAGTGCCCCAGCTGGGAGATACTCAGGCACTTGGTAGTCTGCACCAGTTGTGTGGTATTCAGTGCTGGGCACTTGGCAGTCAGAGCTAGGTGAAATATATTCTGTTGTTTCTCGCGTTCCCAGTAAGCTTATGTCATCCTCCACTGGCTCAGCCATAATTACACCTGTGACAAAGACTGTATTTTACAGCAGAATAAGAACTATACATGTAAACCTGGGAGTTGGAGATAGTATATCTTTACAGTATATCTTTCCTTTAACCAAAGTTCCTTGGGCAGGTACCTTAAAAATATGAATATACATACATGTATAGTAATTTCAGCTCCTATACATTCCATTCACATAAATAAATGAAACAAACCTGAACATGCCAAAATAAAACTCCAATATGGAGAGAATATGGCTAGAATTGCTTCTTTCTCAATTATCAATAATTATGTTATGTTACACAATTTGGTTTAAGTAAAAGGCTATCCAGTAGTCACTACCCAATAATTGGTAAACAGATGACAATTACGTACATACTGATAAGCTACATCACTGATAAACAAGATCTGATAAGGTTTTTCCTTACAATGTATCATGTATGACTGCAAATCACATACAAATTCTCCCTCAGATTATACAAATAAAATACTATAATTTTCCAATCATCTTTTGACATCATCAGTCTGAAAAGCATTACTGAATGTACATATTACTGCTAGAAAACCATTCATTTTACACCTTATGAAAATATTTTTGCCATTGGTTTAGTGACAACAGTAACTGTCTAAATTTTTCTATGCATGTGACATATGATCCATATGGGTAAGCACTTATCATTATTGTTATTATTACCATAGGCATTTCAGTTGAGTATGGATGTGAAGCTTGGGTGGTAAATGCAGCAGTGAGGAGACGGTTGGAGGCAGTGGAGATGTCCTGTCTAAGGGCAATGTGTGGTGTAAATATTATGCAGAAAATTCGGAGTGTGGAAATTAGGAGAAGGTGTGGAGTTAATAAAAGTATTAGTCAGAGGGCTGAAGAGGGGTTGTTGAGGTGGTTTGGTCATTTAGAGAGAATGGATCAAAGTAGAATGACATGGAAAGCATATAAATCTATAGGGGAAGGAAGGAGGGGTAGGGGTCGTCCTCAAAAGGGTTGGAAAGAGGGGGTAAAGGAGGTTTTGTGGGCGAGGGGCTTGGAATTCCAGCAAGCGTGCATGAGCGTGTTAGATAGGAGTGTATGGAGACGAATGATACTTGGGACCTGACGATCTGTTGGAGTGTGAGCTGGGTAATATTTAGTGAAGGGATTCAGGGAAACCGGTTATTTTCATATAGTCGGACTTGAGCCCTGGAAATGGGAAGTACAATGCCTGCACTTTAAAGGAGGGGTTTGGGATATTGGCAGTTTGGAGGGATATGTTGTGTATCTTTATACGTATATACTTCTAAACTGTTGTATTCTGAGCACCTCTGCAAAAACAGTGATAATGTGTGAGTGTGGTGAAAGTGTTGAATGATGATGAAAGTATTTTCTTTTTGGGGATTTTCTTTCTTTTTTGGGTCACCCTGCCTCGGTGGGAGATGACCGACTTGTTGAAAAAAAAAAAAAAAAAAAAAAAAAAAAAAAAAAAAAAAAAAAAAAGTGATAACTGGTACCCTGAGGGTTTGGCAGTGAAAATAAATGATGCTATGAGGGTAGGTTTATTTAGGTACAGTTACAGATAGGTATTAGTAATTACACTAGTTTTAGGTTATTACAATTGTCTTACATATGTGTAAATTACCTAGGATAACCCTGTGAGAGTTGGGCAGCGAAGATACAGGATGCTGTGAGGGCTGGGTAGTGAAAATGAATGATACTGTGAGGGTTGGGTAGTGAAAATGAATGATGTTGTGAGGGTTGGGTAGTGGAGATGAATGATATTGCAAGGGTTGGGTAGTGAAGATGAATGATTTTGCAAGGATTGGGTAGTGAAAATGAATGTTGCAAGATTGGGTAGTGAAGATGAACAATGTTGCAAGGATTGGGTAGTGAAGATGAATGATGTTGCAAGGGTTGGGTAGTGAAGATGAATAATGCTGTGAAGTGATACCATTCAATATGAGAAAACCATGCCAAGATCTGTGGTCAAAGACTATTCAACCTGTCACCAGCAGATATATGAAATATTACCAGAATATAGAAAGTTTTCAAGAGGAAACTGGATCATTACCTCCACCACATGCCAGATCAACCAGGCTACAATGGATATATGGGCTAGTGAGCCACACAGCAGTAGAGTGGTTGACTAGCCAATCAACAGAAAATCCTGGCCAGAGACCAGGCTGACTGAAGAAAACTCTTGAAACTAATCACAGGTATACCATGGATACTCTCAAGTACTCAGGGTCAAGTACTGAAAATGAAAATGCTCTAGTGGCCTGGTGGTTACGCTCTCGCTTCACACGGTGAGGGCCTGGGTTCGATTCCCAGCCAGAGTAGAAACATTGGACGTGTTTCTTTCCACCTGTTGTCTATGTTCCCCATCAGTAAAATGGGTACCTGGGTGTTAGTCGACTGGTGTGGGTCGCATCCTGGGACACTGACCTAAGGAGGCCTGGTCACAGACCGGGCCGCGGGGGCGTTGACCCCCGGAACTCTCTCCAGATAAACTCCAGATTCCCCAATACAAAATGAGGTATACAATGTAGACTGGTACATTTTAGGCCTAATGGGAGAAAACTATTTTTTTGGAAACCCAAAAATAAGCATAGCCCAACCGAACAATCTAAAATTTGTAGGGTAAGTTAGGACAAACTGGGGTAGGATATAACTACTGTATCTCTATTGCACAATCCACTGGGATGGGTTACCTGATCATGTCAAGGTCAATCATATATAAAATTATTGAGGAACTGAGCCAGACAATATCTAATAAGTGAAGCAGTAGAAAGGGAAGGTAGTGATTTCTTGTAATTTTAAAATGCTCATTTTTTCCTAATGTATAAAGTTGTTTACATTTTATTAATATAAATAAAAGCAGAGGATAATACAGTATGACTATGTAAATACTAAGCTATGTAATAAGTGTTTATTTACATCTCATACATAACTTTAAATTTTCACAATGAATTTACATATAGAAAAATATATAGCATGAAACTTTGAATAATGCAATACTCAAAGTAACTATATAACATAAATACAAGTCACACTTCCTGGCTTTGCTGGGCTACCTTAGATTAAGTATACATAATATGCTACATTAAATCAGCGTAAAAGTTTAAACATAATACAAAGGCCTAAATAAAACTTCCCAGTCATTTCTACATGAAATTGTAAGTATCGTTGTTACATTCAGGATAATACTTAATATACATACCTCTTATGCGTCATTTTAATATAAAATTCCTTATTAGCTTCACACACTTAAATAAACACATAAAATGTATGATTTTTCGTGACTCACGATCACTAAATTATCAGAATACAGGAAGCGAACACTTCCAGCGACCGTCTCAGTGAACAACAACACGTGAACAATAACGGGCGCACATTATCAGTAGCCACCACACTGGACAGTTATCATTATTTTATTCAGGTGAAGCGATAAACCCGTAGGTATGGAAAAACTGGTGTTCTTCCGTCCTAGATCCGAACTGTTAACAAGTGGGATGGAGGGTGCGAGAGAGGAGAGGCGCACTCAACTGATTCCTCTTCACAAAGGTTTGTGAGGAGTAGCTGTGGTGCCACGCCTCTAACTTAAACCTTGATTGTAAGACAATTAGTTGTAAGCTATTAGTAGACTAACACCAAAGTCTAAGATCAATTTAGACAGTTAAGTTAGACTAGGAATTAGACCTAAATTCATAAGTACAGCCAAAAGTTTCCCCTTGCAGAAACCT